CTCTTATGACATCAGGACTCAGGGCAGACATAAGACTGAACAAGCTGCTAAGGATTCAAGGACTGTGGGGGATGATCAGAAGGAAAGCAGGTGACAGCAACAAGGAGAGATCGGAGGTGAGATTTTTACACAGCTCTTAAGGAACCATGATGTGAAGGTCTTCCAACAGCTCCTTCAAGTGAAGCATCTTGCTGTTCCTCTCAGGGGTCCTGGAGGACCTCTCCAGCTTCCCAAATACACACACACACACCTTGCTCCAACCAGAACGGGTCCTCTCTTTTCTGTTTTAAGAACTGGGATTCCCCATAAGACTTATTTTAGAAAGGTTTTTGTGAGTAAAAAAAACTGAACACCACTGATGAGGCCCAACCCTTCCATTCAACCCCAAGAATGAGCCTGAGACCACCCAACGAGTTGATGGAGGTGCCCACTGCTGCATCCCACTACAGTACCATATGGTGTGCACTCTCCCCTAAGAAATTCCCCTAAAGCTAATGCTCGGTAATGAAACACCCTTGTTAGGGTTGATGGTTGAGTGCTGCTGAGGTCCAGCAGAGCTGAGCACTGGGGGGAGGGAGGAGAGTGGCCAAAGTGGGGCTATGGAATTCCCTGGACACCTGTTAAGGACAGGGCAGTGAGACATGAGGAGGAGAAATGAGGATGGGCAGGCCATGGGACTCTGGTCAATGATTCCAGTCTAGCTAGAGAGGCCAGCTTAGTAACCAGGCAATAAATGTTGGGTTCCTTCTGCCTCTCTCTGTGCAGGACCTTAAATCATGGAGGAGTTTATGGGTCTTGTTTATGTAGAGACTCTTTATAAGCTATTCAGAACAGGGGTGGGAGGGAGAAATAGGGAGAGAAAAATTCCCTTTGAATTTCCATTGCTTTTAGAGTCAGCAATTTAATGAGTCATGCATTCTAAATCCTTGCTTTGTCTACACGTTTTCATTTCAAAATACTAAAAAACACTTTGTTTGGAACATGGGCTATTTTTATCTCATATATCAATAGTGCACATCCATTTCTCCCCATATTAGAAAAGCTTCCTTTCAGATTGGGTTGGAGCAGCACCATAGTAGTAGGGTTGTTTACTTAGCTGTATTTTGTTGAAGCCACCTAGGCATCTCTCTATTCCCTGGGGACTCTCTTCTAGCTGGCCTCGTGAGCCTACTGACCGCCCATGAGTCAGCTCCGGACCTGGCCCAAAGAGCCCCAGATCCCATAGTCTGGACAAAAGGGTAAGAGCATCCTTTCAGCCCTCCAGACTGAGGAGTCAGCACCTTGGCAGGCTAGAGACAAGTCAGGTCTTCATTGCTGTGTGCCCTTGCAAGACTCTTGAGTGAGAGAAGTAGAAGAGAAGGAAGTCCCCGTCTACAGGTTATCCCCTCCAGATACATCAAGAGAAAGCCTGGCCACACATTGGCAAAGACACAGGAATAGACAGTCTGGGGAATTCTGCAGTCCTCCAGGCTGAGAAACAGGAAGAGAACAGGCTGGGAGGAAGGCTGGAAGTGGGTCCTACCTCTCCAGTCCCTGCCCTCTGCGTAAGGTCTCTCTCCAAATTCCAGGGCAGTGCCCCTAACCAACTTTGTCTCTCCCGCTTCTTTTGTTCCACCAGTGATAATACACTCCTCTGGGTCTCGTGGGGACCACCTTCTTTTAAAGGCTCCAACTTAGAGCATTAATTGCAAGCACCTCACCAGCACCAAATAGATAGCCAACCTGAAACGGAGAACTAAGGAGTTAAAAAGTCTTCCCTAGAGCAAAAACTTTAAGATAAGCTTTGCTAACTGCAGCTGTGCGTATTCAACATAATCAACTGTTGTTCAAAACTAACCAGGTCTTTCTGTCCCTCCTTAGTACATGAGTATATGAATATCTGTCTTTCTCAGATATTCAAGGTCCAGACGTCAAGATTCGGTCTTCAAGCCCAAACGCAGGCTGATGGGAAGGCGCCAACCAGCAAGGCCACGTGCTCCTCCTCCCCTACCTAAAACCCCAGATAAAAATCCTTACCTTTTACCCTTTGGGGAAGTGGATCTGAGTTCTAACTCCCATCTCCTCCTCTGGCTGCCTTTCGATAATAGTAAATCTCTTTCCTTGCCACAAGCCTGACATTTCAGTTATTGGCCCTACTGTGTGGTGGGCAAATGAACCTGTGTTTGTGTTCAGTAAGAAACCAACTTCAAAAATGGGATACAAAACCATTGTGTCCAGTAACAAACCAACTTAAAAAATGGGATACAAAACCCAGGGTGAGGAGGTGCCCTGCTTCTCTGGTAACTGCCTTGTGTCCTCTTTCATCCATGTGTTTGTAGTGGAAGCAGCCATGTTCATACCCTCTGACCCTCCTCCCCTGGACATTGTTGATTTAATCAGGAGTGGGCAGCAGTGAACCTGTTCCTGGGGAATTTGGAATCAAGATCATACCGATTCCCAGTTGTGGCTGGCTGCTAGATTGGCAGCTACTTGATAGAGATAATTTTCATATGGACAGAGAAACCAGAGAGATGTAGACAGGCAGAGAGAAAGCAGCTTTCTTGGGTTTTCTATATTTCTCTATGCTCTCATTCCAGCCACCCCTGAGGCCTTGGATTCTATGAGATACTTCCCCCTGACCCCAGCCTGAAGTCTTCCTAACATGCTTCTCTTTTTACTTAGGAAAGCTCTACTGGACTTCTGTTACTTGCAACCAAAATGGTACCAGGAGGTGTGAAAGTGATCTGGGGCCAGAAGACAGGACATGTCAAGGAGACTCCTCCCTAACTTATAATTTTGCCTACCCTGCCCACACCAATTATAACCACCTGGCCACTGCCCAGAGTGCTGTGGGGTCTGAGGAGGCCCCTGATGCTCTGTAGGCTAGTCCCAATACCCAGGCTGTGCTTTACCTGAAGGAGGTTCCCAGCCAAGGTGCTGAAGGACAGGGAGGCAATGTACTCAGAGAGACCTCGCTGCTGGAAAGCGATGTGAGAACATGTTCCAGGTGGGCTGTGTTCCCTTCCCCTCCGTGTCCAACCTCTGGTGCTGAGATTGTGACAATAGAACTCTCTCCTATGGTCCCATCTCATCTCTTCTTTTTAGGTGCCTCTCTCTGCCCATTGCACAAAGAAATCTTTGAGAAATGGTGGGTATGTCCTCAAGGAAGGAGTAAGCAAAAATGTTATGTGTTGTGTGTGAGGGTTTGTGAACGGGTGATGAGAACAAGCCAGAGCCTCAGCCTGAGGTCCAAAAAGAGTTGTTGCTCACCCCCAATGAGAAGCTGATGGCTTGGGAGAAGGGGATTCATTCCACTTGGGCTATTCCTGCCCCCAGAGATAGGTGAAAGTAGACTGCCTAATTCATGCCTGTCACAGCTCTGGCCCCAAAATTCTAAATCCCAAAGTCACAGGAACAAACAGGGGAATACTTTTTAATGTGGGAGTATGTTGAGCAAAAAGGGTCTTTCTGCCTCCACCAGACTTCTTTGTCTGATTGCTGTGTGATACCTTCATATCCAATAAGGTAGACAACCATCCTTTCCTCTGTAGCGTCAGCCACAGTTTTCATTTGCCACAGCCCCCATAGGACACGTAGAAACATTCTCTGCCCTAGTCCTTCCTTCCCTCCCTTAACAAGCACTCCCTCTCCCAGGGCAAGTGCCCAGGACTCTATCTCTTATCCCAACTCTTGGACTGAACTTCCTGCTGGGGCTCCTCTCCTGAAAGCGATGAGCTGGGGTGGGGAGGCCCAGCCCAGGTTGTCCTCTGACCATCGGCAAACCTCTCTGAGCAGAACGTAGTTCTGAGCCTGCCCTTCAGCATACGTCACCTCCGCCTTCACGTTGCCCTCTTCTAGACCTTTCCTCAGAGTTGATGAGAGAAGCTCATCCTGCAGGTCAGCATGCCCTTGGCCAGGGGTCTTGTCAGCTCCCAACTTTGATTTCCCAAACAATGAGTAGTGTTGGAGAAGGTTCTGGATAGGGTCTTAGAGCATCCCGTGCTGGGCCCTGTAGTCCAGCCCCTAGCTCCCAGGAGAAACTGCTGAAAATCAGGAGCTATAGTCATCAGAAATATTTCTATTTCCTTTTTCCCCCTGTAAGGCTAACTCTAAACTCACGGCCCCCACCATAAACACGTTCGACCACCCCTGGGAGCTGGTGGCAGAGACAGCAGGAGATCCCACTCCGCACAGCCTTAGGGAGAACATTTCAGAACATACTCATTTATAGGACTCACCACGGACCAACTCCTCGATGCCAGCATCACACAGATCAAAATTTCCTTCCATACAAACCCCCCAGAGCTGAAATTCCTCCTGAGTTTTTACAGCTACGAATGTCTCCAAGGAAAAGGAACAGAGTAGGATCAAACCCAGGCGAGCCTGTGGCTTGGAACCCATAAAACCCTGCCCTGAACTGACCGCCTCACCTACAAGCAGCGAAGGCAGGGTATCCCAGTGGTTAGAATGTAAGTTTGGGATTCAGAGAGATGTGGGTAGGAGTCCTGGGTTTCCCTTTGCCTGTGGGATCTGGAGCAAGTTGTTTAATGTCTGTCTTACTTTTCTACTATAAAAATTGGGTTAATAACATCCGTGTGGGGTTATTGTGAGGATTAATTGAAATGATCTGTGCAAAGCTCCCACTTCCACGCTGCCACACAGTACGAACTCTGTAAGTGATATCTGTTGCTGTTTTTCCTAACGACAAGCACCCCCACACACACACTTCATCAGTTCCTGATAGAGTCAGCTTTCAAACCCATCCCCTCCTCCCGTCCACACATCTCAGATATAATCAATGGAAACCTGTCAGGCTCAAGACATACAGTAAAAGGACATGCATCCTCTCGGGACCCCTCCCAGGTGTCCTGTCCATAGAGTCTCCTCTCCCCCCCGACGCTCAGCAGCAAAGGCTCCCATCCCCCTCACTACCCCCTACCTGAGGGCTGAAAACAATCAAGTGCTGAGCAAACACTCGAGAAAGCTCGTTTCTCCAGGGGATTTGGGGGGAGAAGACTTGCCAAGTGGGGAAGTCGGGGGCCTGGCTCCTCGGCGGCTCCTCTCCCCCTCCAGGGGCTCCTCTGCCCCCCTTTTCCTCATTCTCAGGCTTCCCCTCTCCGGGTTGCTCGGGCAGCCGCATCGGGGGTCCAGGGCGATGTTCTCAGAGAGATTTGTGAGCACATCAAGGGAACGTCAGCGGAGACACTGAGACTCTGCAAGGAGTTGACAGAAACTTACTGCCTGAACAGCACTGGTTGATTATTTACCCCAAGTCAGTTGCCTAAATAATTCACACCCTCCCTTCTGTGTTTAAACAGGACAATGGCAGAAACACAATCCTGGCACAAGAAATATAATTACAGTTGTGACAGATGTTTAGTTATTAATAAGGCCTCAATGTCACCAGAGGGTATTATACAACAAACCAATAATGTGCCTGTGGAACCAACCTTAATATTTACAGGTACTTTTCCATTCCCCTCCCGTGGGCTTTGCTGTAGAGTAAGCTATGTGGCGAGAGCTATAGCAGCCAACGTGATTGAAACTTGCAAGAAAGCCCAGCACCTTGCCAGCATAATTTGTTTCCTTGCCGTTGACATTAACAGATCCACAGAAACAAAGTGGGGGGCAGAGTGAGAAATCACCGCCTTATGGAGGGGACTCTTGAAAACCTTCTAAGCTTGTGATGCCGCTCATGATTCCAGGGCAATGTCGTCCCTAATTCCCTTAGACACAGCTAAGAGCATTCAAGACTGGTGTCCCTTTGCTAGGTCCAGTCCAGACTTGTTTCCCATATGTACAGAGCCTCTGGGTTCACTTGATGTCACCTTCTCTCTCCTTCTGCCCGACATCTGGTTAACCCCTACTTGTCCTGTACGACTCGGCTCGGGTTAAGGTACCCGCCCAGGTTAGGGCACCCCTCGTCTGTGCCTAGTTCTGTCGATGTCATCCAGAGTCTCTGTCTCTCTCTCCTTCTAACCCTGCATTGAGACAAGCTTCAGGCCAGGAGTGATTCAGATGCACGTTGTGTCATCTGGGCCCAGGCAAGGACAACTTTAAAATAATTGGTGTTCAATAACTATTATTGGACTAACATTTAATCAATATTGGTTCTCTTTGGTTCCACATTGAAGTTAAAAATAATAAAAAGAATCTGAAGAGATGTGAGATTTAACTGGAGAGAGATTTAACTGGAAGAATCTCAGTGATGAAACGTACGAGCCCTGGTCACCGTGGACGGAGTCCTTGCCTGGGGAAGCTGGCCAGTGTGGATGTCTGCACACTGCCCCAGGTGGCAGCCTCTCCCAGCGACAGGCAGATGCGTCTCCACCGCTCACAGCTCGGCCTCTGCACATCCATCGCATCCTGGAAATAGGCTCCCTGTTCTACCTGCAGCCTCTTGATTCTTTTTTTTTTTTTTTTTTTTTTTTTTTTTTTAATTTTATTTTTTCCCCCCAAAGCCCCAGTGGATAGTTGTGTGTCGTAGCTGCACATCCTTCTAGTTGCTGTATGTGGGACTCGGCCTCAGGATGAATGGAGAAGTGGTGCCTTGATGCGCACCCGGGATCCAAACCCGGGCCACCAGCATCGCAGCCCGCGCACTTAACCACCAAGCCACAGGGCCGGCCCAGCCTCTTGATTCTGATGAGAGGTACATTTCCGCGCCTGGGAAGCGTTCTTCTTTGGAAGCCAGCCCATAAGAGACGAGGTTCAGAAAACGACTTTAGGAAGCGTGAAGGCATGAAGAGGTGTGTGCAAATGTTATTGTTGTAAATTATGGTTGTAAATCTGTACACACGGTGGGCACTGCATGTCAGCCCCATCACAGGTCAAACAAGACAGGCTCAGCCTTATGCATAATGCATGTCAGTTACTAAAATGAATGAATGACAGATGCAAACTGGCTGTGTGCTTTGTAACCTCCACCTTGACCAGAAACACCCATAATCCAGGTCAGGGCTGGGCCAGATGGTATCTGGGTACTCCTGATCTGTAAGATCTCTGGTTCTCTGAGGGTTGTGGCGTGGAGTTGGGCCCTCCCTCAGAAGAAGGGCTCTATCTCCTGTGATTGGGCTGGAACCTCCCAAAGGTTGGGACCACAGGGCCACCTTATAGACAGAAAGCTTCCCAAAGCCAGAAGCCTTGTCTCACCAAACCACACAGGTATAACACATCCTTGCAACAGCACTTGTCTTCAGACACACAAACACACCCCACCCTCATGTTCACACACACTACAGCCCCCGCTTATCCACACGTGCTGCACACACACCTCTACTGTTTCAGTCATCTCTGGTTATCATGTTAAGTTAAAAAGGAAAAACAAGTTTCCTGCGTCATTACAGTAGAAATGCAAAAGAAAGTGACATTTTATTTTCAGATATGCTTTTAGTTGCCATGACAGTCCCAGCACCAGGAAAGCTGTGATTGGAGGCAAACACAGATTTCAAAAGAGTAATTAGCTGCCCATATACAAGAACTTCCAAATATGTTGAGTCCCCTCCCTCATCAGTCCCCTCCAGGCAGAGTGGACACCAGGGCAGGGGCACCCCCAATGCGATCTGGCTGCCAAGACAGGGATGGGACCTGCCAGGAGCTCTCGGCAAGAATGTCCAAGCCAATGGTCACAGTGGCTTCAGAACCCAATCCACTTAATTACTTGGAACCTGCTCATAGCTCAACAGGAGCGTGGCACGGGAGGTGGCAGCACCCTCTAAAGAACAATGGCTTCTGTGCTCAGCTGGCCTCTGGTGCCCCTCACTGCGGCACTCATGATGTGCCAGAGAAACACAAAGCGAGGGGTTTGGCCCTCAGCCAAAAAGGGAGTTGGCTCCTCCAGCCAAAAGCCATCTCACCAGGATGCTCCTCTCCAGGTCGTGGCTGGCCTGACACACCAGGGGGGAAGCCAGGCTGCCCTCCCAATCTGAGACTGACAGTCCATGGGCAACTAATGAGGCACCCTAAGTTGGCATCTGGATAGAAGATGGACCTGCATCTCCCCATTTCACTAGGAGCTTCTCCAAGTCAGCAGCCATAGTGCATGAACCTCCCAAGTCCCCAGTGGCTTTATGTACCGTGGGGCCCACCGTAAATGCCTACTGAAAATAACTCTTTGTCCCCAAATTAACTGGTTACCTCATTTCCTGATGAGACTCTTAAAGGCAATTAATTTCCAGATTTCTCCTTTAAGTCTATTTGCCAGTTGCTTTTGTTGTCATTATCTGAAAGGTCAGCCAGGAAGTGGTTTTTGAGCTCAAGTCTTGCAGTTAGAGCTTTGGGCTAATTCCTGGACCCACATGAGTGTCCTCTTCAGTTTTTCATTTCAGAAAATGACCCAACCACTTCCTTCCGCATCTAAAATGTTCCTTGAGTACCGGCCACCCAGTGTGAGGCACTCTGGGCAACCCCAAAAGTGATGCTACCTTGGTTCTGCCCTCAAGTGCTCCATCAGTTCCATCACTACAAAAGTGATGCTGCCTTTGTTCAGCCCTCAAGTGCTCCATCAGCTCCATCACTCTTCCCAACCCATAATATGCAGAGATTGGGGGAGTGACGTGGTTAAGAACACAGCTAATTGAATCAGACCATGCACTTCCAATCCTGGCTCTGCCACTCATAAGTGTGACCTTGGCTGTGTGACCTTGGGCAAGTTACTTAACCTCTCTGTGCTTCAGTTCCCCCATCTGCAAAATAAGCCTGATAATAATAGCAACTAATTTTTAGGATTATTATAAAGTGCTTGGCAAAGAATAATACTATGTGTGCTAGCTATCATTATTTATTCCTTCCCTCTGCATCTAACAGGCAGTGGCTAAGCACCCACTTTGCTTAGATGAGTGCTGGGCTGAACCCGTAGTGGGATGGGAGGGAGGTGCAGAAGTGAATCCACCACAGATATAGCCCCACAGAGCTCAGAATCAAGCTGGGGACACAGACACAGACACACAGACCACAGAGGAGGCTGCTCCTTCAGTTCAAAGAGTCAGTTTGTGCCTGAGGTTATTCGAGGGGGGAGGTTTGGATTCTTCCCTTCAGTCCCACCAAGAATGTTCTTAAATGGATCCCTCTGCCTTCCTGTAAGGAAGCGAGACCTATGGATACAGTCTGGGTGAACTGGTCAACCTCGTCATTCCAGCATCTGTGGCTCTGAGCATCCAGTTGAGTTCACAGGGCACAGGGAAACTCAGTCCTTCATGGATTTTGGTCCCTTTGGGACTGTCTAAAATTACAGTCACTGTGGGAGTAGGGTGTGGCTGCAAATCTAATGTTTATGAACAGAGTGTACAGGCCTGCATTGTTTATCGGCATGAATAATTCATAAATATGATGTAGACGGTTCTATTTAGTTTCTGGGAACCCCAAGGAACAGTGCTTCCTGACTGATACTCTGAGATCCAGTTCAAATGTTCACCAAGAAATGCTCCCAACATTCTGATCTCATTGGGCATCCGGTTAGAGTCTTTTGCTACATTTTACGGTTGTTGATGGCCGTGTTATAATCACGACTATATCCTCTGTAATGCTTGACAAGGGTTTTGCATGTGGGTCTTTTCTCTCAAAGCCCTCCACATGAGTGTTATCAAATTTGACCCACAAGTAAAATTTATTTTTGTTACAACTGAATATAATTCTGGTTTTTGTTCATCACTTTTTTTACTTACTATTTTTTAGCATATTTTAAGTGTACAATATATTATTATAAACTATAGTCATCATGCTGTGCATTAGGTCTCCAGAATTTATTCATCTTATAACTGAAAGTTTGTACCCTTTGACCAACACCTCCCCTTTCCCCCACCCCTTAGCCCCTCGTAACCATCATTCTACTCTCTGTTACTATGAGTTTGACTTCTTTTTTAGATTCCACATATAAAGTAAGATCATGCAATATTTGTCTTTCTGTGTCTGGCTCATTTCACTTAGCATAATGTCCTTCTGCTTCATCCATGTTGTCGCAAATGGCAAGATTTCCTTCTTTTTTATGGCTGATTAATATTCCATTGTATGTATGTACCATATTTTCTTTATCCATCCATCTGTCAATGGACACTTAGATTATTTCCATATCTTGGCTACTGTGAATAATGCTGCAACAAACACAGGGGTGCAGATATCTCTTCAAGATACTGATTTTATTTCCTTTGGATACACACCCAGAAGTGGGATTGCTGATCATATGGTATTTCTATTTTTAACTTTTTGAGGAACATCT